CGTTAATTATATTTCATAATCTGAACAGCTGATTTTGGAACAATGTCCTGCATTTTAAATACATTGGAGTTGTTCTTTTCCTGTAATAGTGCCGGCTTCTACATGGAGTAGATGTTGAACTGCTTTAGTGCAAATTCATCGTCTACCGAAAAACACTTGAACAGCCGAAAATAAGCAACTCCACATTTTATTTGCTGTATAGTGTAAAACTGCACACTCATGTCCGACTGTTATTACGCTGTTTTGCATATTCCACTGAATAGTGTTGTTCACTTGGACGGTAGATAGGAGCTCCTCTCACTGATTTTCTAGGTATAAGGTTATCCATTAGCGTAAGAATCAGAATGGTGGGTTGCTGCACTTGGTGTTCACAGATTTTAGTGCTTGGAAATCACATCTGTCAGAGAGTTATGTCTCAGCAACAGAACGTCTCCTCATTTGTGTAATGTATCTGGCAGGCCAGAGGACTTTTCGTTACAGGTGTTACTGTATATTTTGAGTGTATTATTGCTACCTGTATGTGCTGCATGTTGAGTTTTTTCTTTTTTTTTGTTACTTTTTTAACAGCTGTATGTAGTATAAATGGAATAAAAACAAATGCTGAACTGAAATTTACATCTTTTGTATTGTTTCAATGATGAAATGTGCCTGCTATCTCGACTCGACTTTGTGAGTGGAAGGGATAGAACCCCTTTTGGGCCAGTTCACACCACAAAGAGTGCGTTCCAGAGCGTTGGGCCTCTGGAACGCAACCTTGCCTGCTTCCTGCTTTCAGGGGCGGAAGGGGGCGTGGCGGTGCATTGAAGTCAATGGCACCACAGCCCCGCCCGCAATGCGATTGCCCGCACCCGACCTGCGTTCTGGTCCAGTACGATCTGCAAAGATGCTGCAAGCACTATTTTTGCAGATTGCACTGGACCGGAACGCAGGCACTAATGTGCCATGCGTTCGGGTGCGGGTGATCGCACTGCGGGGGCGTGGCTGCGGTGCCATTGACTTCAATGCCCCCACAAACACAGGGAGCAGTCCGGCTTGCGTTCCAGAGGCTGAACACTCTGAAACGCACTCTTGGTGGTGTGAACCGGCACTCAGGTTATTATTGCAATCAGGGTCTCTGTTAGAGACTTTTCCTCGCTCTTCCTGTCCTGGTGACAATGGTTTAACCAGACAGGAAGTGAGGGGAAGTCTCCAATAGCGACACAGACAAAAATCATTTGTTTTTAGAATTAGTATCTTTTAGTTGTGTCTCTCACTTCCTGTCTGGTAAAGTCATTGTCTGCATAACAGGAAGTAGGGGAAATCGCTGTAACAGAGCACCAGATTGCAGTAAAAATCCTAAACCTTCCCCACTGTATACAAATCGTAAAAAAACGGTTGGGGGGACATACACTTTAAAGTGATATTAAAGTCAAAAGGTTTTTAAGTTATGTCAAATGCTGATGAAATCACTTAGAATGGATGCTGCTCCTTCATGTTTAAAAGTTCTAGTTTCCTGCAGAATCAGCTGATCCCCTGAGCACGGGCCCCGATATCCTGTTTTAGGGTGGCTCTTTTCCATTGCAGGGTCCTATGGAGCCTCCACAAGCAAACAGCCCTTAGGATGTCCTTACCGAAGAACCCCTGAAGAAGGGTGCTGGCACCGCAGGCAACAAACACAGAACAGAATGTCACCAGCACACCTAACAATGTGGTCAAGTGTTCGTCCTTCATTGATGCATATTGTCACATAGAAGCAATGTGTTTTGGGGCCGCGCAGGGTCCCCTTCATCAGGCACAGTGTAATGAACATTAGGCACGAACACTGTGTCTGGATAAGTGGACCTTATGCGACAATTTTTCTACAACATCTGGTTAACGTGCATAGAATGAATGTACGTTATACATATAATTATAATATAAACTATGCCAGTGGTGTCCTTATGCCAGGGGGGTGGAATGACGCCTCCTTCTTTAAGCTCTGCGTCTCCCCGCCTGGCTCAGCATCCCGCCCAGCTTGATGGGACGCTGGCCAGCGTGTCCCAGGTTGCTAAGATGCGTATGGCCCTTATGCATCTCCCTGCCCTGCTATTAGCAACCTGGCTCTGGCCACAAAGGGGGCGGCAGACACACTGCAAACATTGTGCACCAGAACGGCCATGCCACTCTGCCTGCCACCCACCACCCTAACCCAAAGAGATGCCCCCTGAGGCAACAGCTCCCTCATTAAAGGGACAGCCCTGACCTATGCAATTATTTTATAAAAAGATCCCTTGATGGCAACCTGTGCCTAGAGAAACCTGGAGGTTGCCACTGCCGATTCTCTGACTTCAAGAAATTCTGAGCCCCTGACCTGAAACAAGCTCGCAGCAAATTAAACCAGACTGAAGTCAGAACTCCTAAACTGCTTTTAATTTGTTAAAAAAGTGCTGGAGACATTAGATCAGCAGACAGCCAGACGACTAGCATCCTTGGAAGGAGAAGATGACAATGGCCGCCTCCGGGTTTCTCTTTGCACAGGTTTCCTTTAATATGTTATTGCGGTGCTTCAGTCTATCTACAACACCATGGTGATACCTTATGTGTCAGACTTACATTATCACAGATTTTACTGTGAAAGTGTTCAGTATATAGTATCACAATACAGCTCTGAAGCTGCACTTACTGCTGAAATGCAAGGATAGGACAGTAGATGGCGATAAAGAGTAACTTTTAGCACGCACACACGGACGCACATACAGAAAAAAATCCCAAAGTATTATGTTCAGCTTTCAAAGTGACACTAACAGGTCTATTCACAGAAGGGTGAAGAGTTTGGAGAAGGCCGGAGAAGTGAACAATCTAGGACAACATAGCTGATTTGGAAACATTCTCCAATTCATCTCACTTTCCAGTTCAGCTATGTTGTCCTAGATTGTTCACCATCGGGAGTGCGCCCAGACATTTTATAAAGGAAATATAAGGTAAGATGTCAATCTAAAAATAGAAATGAAAGTAGGATCCATGTGAAGGGATCTCAGGAGAGAACTGCAAAGTGAAATTTTTAAAAAAGTTTTCTGCCACTTTAAATCTTAAAAATACATTAAAATACCTGAACTATTACTAAAAATGTATCTTATTTGTGTATCACTCGGCTGTAGATCCTCAAATCATCTCTGAATTGGTGCTGACACTGTCCTTCCTTCTGGAGGGGGGCTACTTATGTTCCCTCATGGTCCCTGTGTGTGTTGTAAAGTAGTCACCGCTCCAAGCTCGCTCCCATGATGGACTACAATCTCAATTAGGGATGCACCAATACCGTTTTTTCAGTATTGAGTACTGATATTTATATTTTGGTACTCGTCGATACCAAGTACTGATACCCCTACTTCCCGGGCAATCAGAAAGCCATGCAGTGTGTTATTACATGATGCCTGTCTTATTTATCGCTTGGGAAACTAGCTCCATGCTGTTTGGCCAGCTCGATGCTAATTGCATTTCAGCTGGCTTCCCTGCCAATTCGCTTCCTGATTTGCTGGGAAGCCGGCTCACTGCTGTTTGGCCGGCTCTATGCTGATTGGCCAGAAAGCCAGCTTCCCAGCAAATTAGCATGGAGCCGGCTTACCAGCCAATCAGGAAGTCGGGCCGCAAAACATCACCCGTGGCCCGGCTACCTGATTGGATGGGAAGCCGGCTCCATGTTCCCTCGTAGTACTGCCGGTCAGAGGAAATTTCCCTCTGACCGGAAATTCCGGTATCAGGATAAGTATCGGAGCATTTGGGCGAGTACAAGTACATCCCTAATCTCAAAAGAAATTAGTAGGGATACCGATACCGAGTATTTGGGTGAGGATTTTTTTCCACACAGGCGAAGGTGCATTTTTGCAGCCCCCCCCCCTGCGCGCCCTCAGACGGCTGCTTAAAAAAAAAAAAAGGTTAGAAAAATAAAATTTTGGTTTCGGCCTGACATTTTATTTTTCATTTCGGTTTTTTATTTGTTATTTTTTTTCTTATTACTTGTTTTTTAATCTTACTATATCTTACTTTTTATAATTTTTATTATTATGTTTTACTTATTTTTTCATAATTTTTATTTATTTTATAATGTTTTATCAAATTATTTTTTTTAATAAAAAATTTTTTTCACTTAACTTTATTGCTATCACACAGGATAAAACAATCCCCTGTGTGATAGCATATGGAGGTGACAGGTTCTCTTTATTGACCCTGCCACCTCCAATACAGGAGTTCTAGCACAACACTGTGCCAGAACTCCTGTGACAGCTGAGAGGAAGGGCTGTGCAGCTCTCCCCTCACTGTCTCCTGCGAAGAAGAAGACAAAGGTAGCTGGCAATTCTACTGCAAAGGAGCTGAGAAGCATTGAAAGGGATTAGTCCTACATGGCAACATACAGATGGTTTGTACTCTCCCATGGGTAGGCACCAAGAAAGGAAAATCATGGTATTGATAAAACTTTACATTATTTTGAATTGAGGAAAATCCTCACCAGCTCAGTCAGCACCTGACCACACCTTGTTCTGACCACTGTGTTCTGGATTGACATCACTGTCTCTGGTGGTCATACCGTCCCACTGTGAGCTGCAGTGTCTGGGAGGGGGAGCGCATGAGACACAAATGAAGGACGACTTGGCTTCCGACAGGGTAACGGCGAGGCTTGTGCATCATATACAAATGTGAGTTGGTAATTGTTTTATCCCGGGAAACTGAAAAAACTCCCCTTGCAGTGGTTGCTTTCTTGTATTTCAAGGATAAAAAGGACTATTTCTGCTGTGGGCCTGTTTATTCGGCAACAATTTTGTCTTTACTCATGAAAACATAGTAACAAATCCTTTTATTTGACACACTAGGCTTTATTTTGGTAATATGTTCTTGCATTAATGATTTTATTTTCTATGTAGTACATAAATGTGTAGAAAAAAATGCGTTAAATCAAAGATGACTTCAGTATGCTTGGAGGTGCCTGACTTTCAAGAGTTTGTTTAGTGTTCGCAACCAATAAAGTTGTTGATGATGTGGAAAAAAAAAGTGGTGCGCCGCTGTGTGGAAAGGGGCGTGTCCTGACAAGGGGCGTGGGCGGTGTCAGTGTGCTGTGCGCGGACACTCTCTCCTTCATTCATCCCGCTGTGGGACATGTTGTACTGAGCCGTTCTCCCCCTTCATACGAAGGAGAATGCTGCGGGTGTGCAGGAAGGTCCGGGCGGCGACGCTGGCTCAGGTAAGGGGTACTGGAAGGTGGACAGCGGGTATTTATGTACTGACAGCGCGGGCAGCTGTTGGCGTGCGGCGTGACTCGGAACCTTCTGAGTCGGAGGCTGAGCACATATGCTTATCCCTGGTCTACTGGCATTGCGCGGTCACACAAGCTTTCCGTCAGGGGCATCAGGACGAAATGACTTTTACCACGGCCAATAGGTCTGCACCGCTTTACAAGAGTGGCCAATCACAGCGCGCCGTCTTTGACGGTCCGACCAATAAGCTTTTGTGTTGAGGACCTTTCAACTTTCTAGCGTGTAGGGGAGGGACGCTTTGTGATGGACGTGCTGTCTGTCAAATCGTGAGCTGTTTAGATGTGATGGGCGTCGGGCTCGGCCAATGAACGCGTAGTGTTCTTTAAGGTTAGTTCGTGGGCAGCCGAGAGAGTCCTGAGGACAGATGCTGGGAAGAGCAGTGTGTCAGTGCTGTGTGCTCAGTGACAGGAGGAGGGGAGCAGTGTGTACATCACCGTAGCAGGGGGGTCATTGCCTGGGAGCCAGTCCAGTGCCGCTCTGACACTGACCCCAGGAGGACGTGACCTTGCAGAGGGTCCCTCCCAGACTCAGGGCCTCAGTGAGTCACCCGGCCCTACTACCAGGCCCTTCTTATCCATATGTAAAGCAGACCTGTAGAGGAGTCTGGGAACAGCATAGACCTGCACTGCAGCGTAGTCCCTTCATAGATCAGTAATGGCAGCGTGTATACAACAGTCATATTCATTTTATTTCCAACTACATCCAAACCCGGTCACTAAAACCTCATATAATCTTTACCATGTTTATGCCATGTTCAGTAGTTTAAAGGATTGGTCCACCTTTTGTGAAAATTATAATAAAATAAAAAAAATGTGCATTTATGACATATGTGCATTGAAGCCTGCAGAGCATTGCAACCGTTAACTGTGCGCCACGGGTGCAGTGCACAGCCTGTTGCTTTGTTTACATCCCACAGCCGTACCAAGGTACTGACCTATTATAAGGCTGGAGGAAGTAAACGATGGGTTACAGGTGGGATGATGTCACCGCCCTGCTGCAGGCGTGATCCGCGGTGTCCCTTTGCCGTGCCGGCAGATGGCACTTGTAGTCCTCCCATTCACAGATCCCTGTGAATAGATGATGCGGCTGTGTGGGTTCAGCCAAATTCAAAAAGGGAGCAAGAAGCCTGCAGGGAGAAGCAGCACCATGTGATTGGGCTTAGGTAGTTGGGAAATGTCATGTGCCCACGCTTCATTGTTCTAATCTAAATCAGTGCTTTTCAACACTTTTTTTTTTTGGGTCAGGGCACACTTTTAAGTATGCAAAATCTCCAGGCACCCCAAGTGCGCTCTGTGAACATGTGCCAAACTTGGGAAAACGCGCGCTTTGACACACATTCACCTGACGCGTCAAAAACGTGGTTGCGCGTTAAGGGTTAATTCAGTAATAGCCGCCGCCCCCCCCCACTAGAACATCTATAAACTGGCAGCACCCAGATCCCCCCTCCTATCCAAACAATCACCACCCCCTGACTCCCCCCTCTTAAGCGACCATATATTGCCAGCACCCAAAACACACAACTCTCCAACCCCTTTTTAGAACTAGCACACATTTGCAGCACCCCACCCTTGATCCCTCCACCCCTTCCCTTAGGGGGTGAATAGTGTAGGGACAGTCCTGGTGATGACCTATGATCCAGGTGTCAGTGATGCTGAGCTGTGCCCAGAGGTGCCAACCCTGAGGCCCTCCCCTCCCCCAGTCTTACCGCTCTAGAGTGATGTCATCAGTAGTTATAGATGCTGTCCGCGGCCACTACTGAAACCATGGCCTCCAACGAATGACTCCTCTGTCGCTAAGATCCAGTCGGGGGTCTTCCTGGCACCTCACATTTGTTGTTTGTGCTGCCGGCAGACTGGTTTGAGAAACGCTGATCTAAATATAAGTGAAATATGTCTCGTGACCTGTAGTTCCACAACAGCTGGAGGGCCGGAGTTGCCCACCGTTGCTCTAAGTTAACCAGCATTTAACCCTTTACAGTGCAACGTTTTTCTTCCCCTTATCCCTGAGTTGGACTTAAAGCACAGAAGATAGCAGCAAAAACCTGACAGGGGGTCCAACTCTTCTGTCTGTGTTCCCTTTGGGGAGATTCACCCTCTCTTTGTATTGGTGACCGCTGTCACTGAGAGGAAATCCTACATTTTCGAGTTGTCCCCAGAAACAGTTGAGGGGAGATCTTTCAATGGGTACCCCTGTTCTGAGGGCAGTTGTTTAGGAGGAAAATTCTTGCTAACTTCCTGTTGCGTTTCTGGGACAGGAAGCGAGGAGATATTTCCCCAGTGCTACGCAGACGGCATAAACTGTCAGAGGTTTTAACCCTTCCACACTCTATCCAAAACAAAGTACAGGCAGTCCCCAGGTTACGAACAAGATAGGGTCTGTAGGTTTGCTCTTAAAGGAGAACTATGAGGCGAGTGAAAATCACCCCTCATAGTTCTAGCCGACCTGTGACAATGAGACTGTCACAGGTTGGCTCAGTAGATCGGGAGGTGAGCGAACACATACCGGCGTTCGCTCACTTCTCGATCCTGTCCCTGTAGAGATCCGTGACTGTCACTCATGGCTCCCTCCAGGGATGCCCCCCCCTCCCCTGTCCGATCCTCCAGCGCTGACTGGCGGAACGGATGGGGAGGGGGCGGGTACAGCTGACTCTGCCTCTAGATAGGCAGAGCCAGCTGTCACTCACGCAGCTGGTGGATCCAGACAGTAATGTCGGGATCCGTCCTGGCTGCAGCGGTCTCAGTATACCGCGAGCTGCGGCTATACTGAGTGTCCTCCCGTGACCCTTAGGAGAACTATGGGGAAAAGCCCTGACCCCATAGTTCTCCTTTAAGTTGAATTTGTATGTAAGTTGGAACAGGTAAATTTATTAAGTGTAACTCCAGCCAAATTTTTGTTTTGTTTTGGATAGCATAGGGAAGGGTTAACCCCCCGTAATGTTTGTTTTGCTGTGTGCGCCCCTGTTCAGAAGATTTCACCTCACTTTCTGTCCCTGTGACAATTGGATTTTGAAAACGTTCCGCTGTCGTGGAAACAAGGATTGGTGATAAAGCTTCAGTGGAAACATCTTTTGCCCATGATGACTCTTACAGGAGTGGATTTCCCTTCCGAGGGGTAGATTTCCTCTCACTTCCTGTTGTCTCAAGGACAGGAAGTGAGATTAAATCTTTCTAAGGAGGATACAGACAGCAGTAAAAACCTCACAGTGACCCGGAAGAAGAGGCGGGCACCCCTCGTCTGCAAGAGCCAACTTCCTGTAATGTATGTACAGTTCTACGATCCAGACCCAAAAAGGCGGGCACTCCTCATCGGCACGTGCGCGTAGCATTACAACTACCCCTGCTATACAGTAATAGCCCCCGTTTGTAAGTAGGAGTCGTATGTAAGTCAGACGTTTGTAACTGGGGGGCTGCCTGTACATTAAACTCCCTGTTATCCGGCATCCACTGGGATTGGTAGATTCCGGATAACTGTAGTTTCTGGTTGCTTGAGAGATACTGACTAATGCCATACCCCATACTATACCATAACATAAACTCTGTATTCACTTCATATTGAAATGCAGCAATCAAAAGCAAATGAAGACATATAGACACACGATCATTTCCAGGACAATACATGCCGCAGATTAGGGCTGCAACAACTAATCGACATAATCGATTATAATCGATTATTGAAAAAGTTGTCAACTTTTTCAATAATCGATTAATCGGCTTCTGATTGGCCCTGTTCGGCTCCACACACGCTGCGCGCTGCCAGACCTGCCCTCATCCACGCTCCGCACCTCCTCCGTGCCTCTCACTCACCGCCCGCCCAAATCCACGATTGGCAACGCAGATCAGTGAGTACACAGGATTTTTTTTTCTGGTTAGTTGAATACCAGATTACTGAGTTTACTTTATAAATATTGGCTGTAGATGAGGACATTACCTTTCTCCATACTGAATGTCATGTGACCCCCTAACATGCTAATATCTTTTACATAATACAATTCACTTTCTGTTCCTATCATCACTCTAGAACTCCAGTCACAAATTGTATTAACTCTTAGCCCCCATTCACACCTAGGCGTATTTTAATATGTGCGTCTGTCGCGCGTTTTTTTTTACCGCGATTCGCGGTAAAAAAGTCGCGCGATTCCGAAGGCTACTTGGCTGTATCCCAATGGAAAACGCCCTACAAAACGGCCCAAAGTAGTACCTGGACCTTTTCAGGCGTGGGCCGTTTTGTAGGGAGTTAGGGACGGGCGGAAATACGGCAAGGTGGGAACGAGGCCATTGACTACAATGCAATTTATATTTTTGACCGTTTTGTAGAGCGTTCGTCGAGCGTAGACCGCGCTACAAAACGGTCAGGTGTGAACGAGGGCTTACAGTGGGGCCCCCCCTGCCCTGCAAGGGTTAACTGCTTATTTTCCTCTAGGGTTAAAAAAAAGAGTTTATACTTGCCTGGTCCTCGGAGATGGCCGGTGTTCTATCTAGATCTCCAACGACCTGACTTCGGGTTTAGTTAGAAGTAAGAGGTTTGTCCGAGAAGGCTGTACTGCATGTTTATTAATCTGAGTTGCCCCACTCAATATGGCTGCCACTTGCTATTAATAACGTACTGGGTTAGTCTGACCCTGGTTCATTTGAATACTTGATTGTTGTGTAGTATGTGTGTAGGGAAATGCCGCGGGTGGTGCACATGCAGTACAGCCTTCTCGGCCAAACCTCTTACTTCTAACTAAACCGGAAGTCAGATCGTTGGAGATCTCGAGGAGTTGGGGTTTTCAATAGAACACCGGCTCATAGACCAGTTCCTGGAGTCTCTCTTCCCCTCCGCTGCAGCGGTCTAAGGTCCATGAGTCATCACATACTATACACAGTGCATAGGATGTGAGAATGCCGAGGGACATACCATTGCTGCAGTGGAGAAGGAGCGAGGCTGG